CACCAGGCTATTTCGGAAATTTCATCCTGAGATTTTCAACTGACAAAGAGACCTTTCCACCCCAAATGGTGACTTTTTAGGGTATAACTTATACATCTCTAACTTCCTACAGGATTGATACTCAATAGCTTTAAACTAAAAAGCAGCGACCCAAGCAATTTAGAAACCTGAGCTTACCCTCATGCCAAGAAAGAGAGAACTATTCTTGGCCACATAAACAGCCCATTTCAAAGTCTTAGCCAATCTGAGTGCATAGGAATTGATAAGATAAGCCTCAGATTGGGCTCAGCCAGCCTGATGGCAGGTAATGGTTTATCAAAAAGCTACAATCTTTTTCTGTCCTGCAGCCAGCTATTCAGATATGTCCTGTGATTGCCAAGTCAAATGCCAGCCTTCCTACTAACACACACACACACACACACACACACACATCTTTTTTTTAATTTTATTTTATTTTTTCCTGTCCCATGACTTGAAAGAGAGGGCAGACTGGAAAGAGCTAGGCTTTAGGAACCAGTATGTGGGAATTCCATCCTCAGCTTCCCTACTGGCTCTGGCGATTTCATGTTCCCAACCTAGCTCTTTCTGAGTCTATTTTTGAAGCAGTAGCTGTCTGTTCAGCTCTGCTACTTACTCCCTGTGTGACCTTAATCAAGTCACTTTACTTCTCTCGGCCTCATTTTTCCTCATCTGTAAAATGGAGGGATTGGGTTAGCTGATCTTTAAGATCCCTTTGAGCTGTAGATCCTATGAAGCTGAGGAATTAGGCTCAGAAGCAGCTGTTGTACCTGCCTCCTGGAAATCCTTCCTTTGTAAAGAGATACAAAATGTTTGTTTGCTAAACTCTCTTGACTGTACCTGTAAATCTGCCCAATAATCTATCTCAGACCTAAAGGGAGAACCGCAGAACTGTAGAATACCAGCATTAGAAGGCCTCCGTGTGAGAATTGTGAAGTAGGTCATATGAGAAAACATCACCCACTTCACAGTTTTGCCTGAGGGCGAACCTGAATAGAAACCTGAGAACATTTGTCTCTGTTGTTGCTTCCTTTTTCTTTTTTCTCTAGCCTCTGTTGATGCTTCTGATACCCCTCTCCTCTGCTCAGCTTCTTTCTGTCTACTGCTTAGACCGGGGTCTCTATCTCCAAAACTCTTCTAGCCACATCCTCCTCATAAACACACACACTCTCTCTCTCACACACACACACACACACACACACACACACACACACACACACACAACCTGCGTAGCAGTTATTTCTCAAAAAACCATTCTGGAATCATGTTGATAATAATATATTTGGTGCCATCGTTGATAAAGAACTAGTCAGGGAAACAATTCAAATCCTACCTTTGACACTTTCTAACCCTGGGCAAGTCATTTAAACTCCCTCAACCTCAATTTCCTCCTCTGGAAAATGGGGGTAATAGAAGCTACCATGCAGGACTGTTGTGAAGATCGAATAGGTTAACTTATGTGAGGTGCTTTGAAAACCTTAAAATGATATGTGAATGCTAGCTATTATAGTAATAATTGGTGTTGTTCATCATGTCGCTATTGTTACCCTTCCCAAGAATTCACATTTTTTATGTGTAATATAATTATACATGTATAGCCTATATTAGATTGCATGACCTCTTGGGAAGGGAGGAGGGAAAGGAGGGAGGGGGGAAATTTTAGAACTCAAAATCTTATAAAAGTGAATGTTAAAAACTAAAAATAAACTTTTTTAAAAAGATAAAAAAACCCAAACATTCATATTTTAACAATGCATTAAACCAATGATAGCAGTAGCCCACTTAAGTACTGGGCTTTGCAGTTTGATTCAATTCAATTAAAAAGTATTTGCTAAACACTAGTTAAGTACAAAGAATTCATTGGGGCAGTTTGAGATACAAAAACTGTTGAGAGGACAGAGACAAAGAGATAGAGGCTCCGTTATCAGATTCTGCAGTTTAATGGGGTGAAGGATATACAAATCACTATAAACAAGAGAAGAGAGAATTTTTTAAAGAGATCCAGGTAAAGTGCTAAGTGAATTTTGAAAGAGAGTTTGCTTTCTTGTGGAGGGGATTGAATGCCTAATTCAGAAATTTAGGTCGAATTCAGTAAGCACTAGGGAGCCCCCGAGCTTTTAGTGTACAGTGATGGAATCCTAGTGGTGCGTTAGGACACGGTAAGTAGGCTTCATGTATGTGCCTCAAATCCAGTATGTACAAACTCGAACTTACTAGTTTTCTCCCTAAACCCACTGCTCATTCCAACTGGCTTACTTCCGTCATAGGCACTGCCCTTCCCCCAGCCAGCTGGGACAGCAGTCTCTAAGTCATTCTTGACTCTTCCCTCCCACTCCACCACCGTGTGTGCTCACTTGCCAAGTCTTGTCAATGCTACCTCCTCCTCCCCGTCTCTCACATCCCTCTCCTTCTGTCTCCTCATACCACAGCCATCTTCAGGCAGGCCTCATCCCCTTCACCTCCAATAACCTCCTCATTGGTCTACCAGCATCCAGTCTCTCTCCTTTCCAATCCGTCCTCCAGAGCCACCAAACTGATATTCCAAAAACACAGATCTGACCATGGCATGTACCTGCTCCAGAACTGACAGTGTCTCCCTTTTGCCTCTAGGATAAAACACAAGTGTTCGGCATTTAAAGCCCTTCCCAGACTAGCTTCAGCCTACTTTTTCAGACTGCTTACATATTATTCCCTCTCACTTCCTCTATGTTTTAGCCAATCCGTCCTGCTACACACAATACTGCCTTCATGTTTTTGCACAGGCTGTCCCCTATGCCTAGAATGTTCCCTTTCTTCGGGTCTACCTCTTAGAACTCTATGTCCCTTCATCCCTCAGCTCAGGTGCAACATGAAAGGCCTTTTCTGATTCCCCTGATTATAAGATGATCCAATCCTGAAAATCACTTTGAAATAACTTATCTGTAAACATGTTGTGTCCTCTTCCCCTATGTCCCCTATAGAATATGAGCTCCAGGAGGGCAGTAATTGTCTCATTTTTGTATTTATATCCTGAGAATTTAGCACATAGCATGTATCCTACAAGTTAGCTCCTCGGGGGCATGACTATTCCACAACCATCTTCACATTCCAGACCTAGCAGAGGCTCTGGCACCTAGCAGGTGCTAAATAAATGCTTGCTGAATTGAATTATTGAGGATGAAAGGGAATCCAGACTCAGACCCAGCTGTTTTGAGTTTAAGTCCAGCGCTCTTTCTATTCTGCCACACTGAGTGACTGGCATGGTGGGTATCTCTGGCAAGTCAGAGTTAGAGGGACAAGTAGCTTTTTAAACAAATCACACCACAGATAGCCATTTACTTGGCTGTGGGGTCGTCTCTTACTATTAATCAGTTAATAAATATTTATTAAGCACCTACTATATGCTAAGCACTGTGCTAAGAACTAGATATGGAAAAGACAGTCCCTGCCCTGCTGATACCACTCAACATTGGCCTTAAATTCACTTCATCTCTGCCATTTATTACCAGCATCACCTTGGACAAGGTACTTTGCCTTTCTGGGCATCAGTTCCTCATCTGTAAAATGAGAGGATTGGACAAGATCTCCTCTGGGGTTCCTTTCAGCCCTAGATATAGGGTTCTTTGACCTCTCTGGTGTTCCATTTTCCCATCCGCAAAATGAGGAAATAGCATTTGTCATGGTATCATATTTGTAAATATCTTGAGGTCATTGCTTTAATTTTTTTTTCACAAACTACACGTTAAGGAGAATATTTGACTGGCTATATGATCCCAAAGAGAACTCTTAGCAAAGGTGTGACTGTATTGTCCTGGGGAGAAGCCTGGGAAAATTATTTTATCCATAGTCATGCCATCAAGAGTTCTGGACTGGAGGCACCTTAGCACAGTGAAAAAAAGAACTGGACTAGAGTCCCGAAGACTGGGGTTCCATTCCTACTTTTACCATTATGTGACCTTGAACCAAATAGGGACAACAGTTTCCTCATCTACTAAATTAGAGGTTGGACAGATGTTACCTAGTTGAAAAGTCATATGAGTTATAGTTTCTGTTTAACCCCAGTGCCTTTCCCAAAACAAACTTTAAGATTTGTCCAAAATTTAATAGGAGTAGTCTACTATAAGGGAATAAGTGCTGTTTTTGCATTTTATTGAGAAATCTCACCAGAAAGGCCAAAGGAACCAGGGTACCTGGTACCAGCTCCTGACGGCCGATTGCTACTTGGAATTAAGTGAATGCTATAAATCAGGGCTTGATTTACTGCTTTGTTGATTGTCTAGACTTAAGAAAGTGATGGGAAAATGTTAACAACATTAAATTTAAAGTATGTTTTGCATACTTTTTTTTCTATACAGCTAGTTATGAAACATTTACCAGCACACCTCTACCAAAGCTGAGCTTTAAAGTGAACTCCAAATCTAAAATTTTCTTAATTTAGGCTGAATGGTTATTTGTCTTTATTAGCACAGCCTCTGAAAGCAAAATAAGGGAATTTTAGAGACCTTCTCTGCAATGGCAATTTATTCAGTAGATCAATAAAGAACTTGAAATCTCCTGGGTTCTCAATCCATGTGGTCTTTTCAGGGACAACTGGCTAATTGAACTCAATTTCTAACATTTGTATAACCAGGCCACATTGCTGATTAGAGCTAAACAGTTTTTGTGTTCTTTTAAATCTAATCATTATTTGAAACTGAACATTACATAATTATAATGCCCAAGATTGGGCCTGGAGAAGAAATAATAAAAGTGCACCTCTCTCTCTTCTTTGTAAAGGTGGAGGACTATGGTTGTGAAATATTGGTCATGGTGGATAACTGGATGGGCTGATTAGACTTTGTTTTTCTTCTTTCTTTTTTTAATCTTTGTTATCTAAGATGGCTTGCTGGGGAAGGGAGAGGAAGGATAGATTCAGAAGTAAAGGTGATATGGAAACAATAGGTATTAATAAAAGGAATGTAAAGATGAAAATCTTAATGTTTGTAATTTTTTATATTTTTCAGGGATCCTTTTCACAATGTTGGTGTTTGGACCAGCCTGTGGATTCATCCTGGGCTCCTTCTGTACCAAAATTTATGTGGATGCTGTCTTCATTGACACAAGTAAGGAAAATGTCTTTCCTCTGAATTTCAAGTTGAAAGCAATTCTATCCATCTACAGACACTTCTCCACATATGATAGTCTTTGATCTCAAATGCGACCATTTGTATATTTCAAATTTTGTATGTTTCATGTTGAAATTAAAACCCATCTATGAAATAAGAGGATTCCCCAAGTTCAGCCACAAAGTCTTCTTCCTCTACTTTTGCTATAAAAAGTCTGTCTCTTCTTCTCATGCCTTTATGGAGGCAGCCACTAAATGCAAATCAATAATCAGTTCTGGTTTAGTGATATGACTATGTAATACATATTTGTAGATTTACATGTTACCCAGCATTGAGGACTTAATCATTATGAGCTATAATAGTACATTTTTATCATTATGAGCTATAATAGTACATTTTTATTGCCTTCTTCAGCTCTTTGCGTGATCTAAAAGATACTATTTCAGATTTTTTGAAACTGTTGACTTTTTCTTTAGGTTCTTAGCATACACAGGAGAATTATTTGGGGGCAGGGGGAAACCATAGTGAAGGAGCTAAATTCTTTCACATATCTAGTTCTAGTTTCATTGGTACTATACCAAGTTAAGTAATGAGTGCTTTGAAGGCTTTTCATTAGGTATTTAGTAGGTAGATCTCAGGATCATTCCGACCAAAACCCTTTATCCTGGTGGTCTCAACCAAAGGCTCAAGGTTGATCCCCAAGGTGATTTCCAGATTTAAAATTCCCTTATTCTATGGTGAGTGAGTGTTTCTTCTTCTTTCATCATTAGAATCTCTGAAAGCAAAATGAGAGAAGCTTTTGCAGATGCTTTCTGCTAATGTCAATCTATCCTATAGAAAAGATCAATAAAGAACTTGAAGGCTCCTGGGTTCTCGATCCATCATCTTTTCAACAGTGCTAAATTGACTAATTCAACCAAAAAGAAGCAAATATGATTTTAAATTCAATCAAGTCATGTCTGATTCATTCCATTAATCCCACTGCTATATTTACTTAGAGTTAATGATGTTCAAGATTTTTGAGTTGAAAAAAGTCATGTTCATCAGTCTTTATTTATTTAAAGTTCACATATCTGTTACCAGGTGACTGAACGAGGTTGTTTTCCAACAGGTGCCCAACACATTTAACCCTATTTATAGTTAATAAGGAAGAAAAATAAATAATCAGAATTATAGCAAAAATTTTTATTAGTGATCATATAATCAAAGCTAGAAGGAGCCTTATAGGTCATCTATAGAATTCAACCCTTTCCATTTACAAACAAGACCCAAAGAAGTTAAAGCCACAAATACAGTAATACAAAATAAGAATCCAAATTCATGTCCTGTGACCTCCAAGACTGCTTTCTACTGTTCCACAGGACCTCATGGGGAAAGACTGTTTTTAAATATCTAAAAACCATTCACACCACCTCAAAGGGAGCAATAGGTTAAGGGTAATGATGAAAAAAAAAAACAAAAACAAAGAGCAATGGGGAAATAAAGGACTTTCAGAGAAAAGTTCCCAAATAAAGGAAGAAACCCTTTTTGCCTCTTTAAACATAAATGATAACTCTACTGAATCAAAATCACAAAATGGCAGTGAATCCTAGAATCATAAAGCTGGAAGAGACTTCCTCATTTTACAGATGGAGAAACTGAGGCACAGAGAGATTTTTATTTGTCAGTTTTTATTTTGTCCCTGGCCTAAAGCTACCCACAAGTAGTCAGAGGCGGAGCTAGGACTGAAATTCAGGTTTCCTGGCTCCCAGTCTTAGTTTCATTAAATTACACTGCAGCGCCTTTCCAGTGCCTCTGCCTGAAGAAGGAGTAGGGCAAACCATTGATTCCTGTGGCAGTATGTTTACTGCTGACTCCTCAGTCTGGAATATGAATGTAGATCTGGATTTTCAGTATTATGGGTGTGACTACAAAGGTTAGTTACCACTATCTGCCAGTAGAGGGGGAAAGAAAATAACGTTTTCTCTGGTATACAGTTGTAGCATCCTTTGGGTTCCAGCGATTCATTTCTTTGTGACTCACTGCAAATTTGTTTTCTACCTCCCAGTAAATGTTGGCTATATTTTTGTGAGTTTTCTCAACTCCTGTTCTGATGCCACCACACCCTTTGCTCTTCCTCAGGGGGTAATCAACAGATATGTTTCCTATAAGATGAAAAATATAAGAGTTGTGGAACTGTAACTGCAGAGGTTTATTTTATAACATTTCCTTAAAAACAAGACCTGCAGAGGGTAGGGTCAGATGAGGAAGATTTGGGGAATTAAGTGCTCCTGAGTAGTATAAATTTTTAAGATAATTATGGATTTGTTTTTGTTATCACTTCTACAAGTATTGATACTAGATAATATAAATGGCATTGTTGTTAGAATAGACAATAATAATAATGACATCATCACCATTATTTTCATTCTCTTGAGTTGAAAGATATCTGGGCTTAACATATCTTCTTGAATTTGATTAGCCAGAAGGCTGCCTTCCCCACCCCCCCTTTACCTTGGTGACCTCTCCCCTTCATCATGTCCATGCAGAATTGTTGTAATGTGTTCAACCTGACCTGGCACATAAGGATGCCTGAAATCGGCAGCTGGTACAAAATATGGTTGACTATTTGCTGAGTAAAGAAGGTCACTGAGATCATCTCCCTTTTTTCCATTCCCAGGAGTGGCTAGTGCTGCAGAATTTGCTTCTCTTGGATGAATTAATTTAGCAATCAGGATCTTGAACTTATCTCCCTTCCTCCTCCCCTTTTCTCCCCCTCCAAAATAAGAAAATTTAGTTTTAGAGTTAGGTTTATAATCTACATTTTTAAAAAATCTTATATCCCATAGCAAATGTATTGCCAAGCTCATTAGACAAATAGGTAAATGACCTGGCAGGAAAAAAAAAATTACCTGGAGTGTTTTCTGTATCATTCACACTCTAGTTCAATTTGATGACTAAATTCATCAATGAGAAAGCAAGGAAGCAAATGTTCCTAATTCACCTGCCATCTGCCCTTCTCACATAGACTCTCAAGTCTCCAGATTGGTTGTTTGGTTGATGGAGGTTAAATTGGATACATTGCATTTCTTAGTTTTATTTTGCTCTTTCAGGTCCAAAAAACTGAAGCCTCATAGTCCTAGTAGGTGAGTGAAAACATCACACAAATCCATGGACAACAAAGCCAACTCAATTAAATTTCATAAGTATTTTTAAAGTGCCCACTATGCTGTGCAGAACTAATGACAAAAATGAATAATCCATTCAGTTCAAGGAATTTATGTTCTAGTAGGATGAACAACATATGTACAGCTAGGTAAATACGAAGTAATTTCTAAGTACAGAGTTGCTAACAAACTGGAGTGGAGGATCAGAAGAAGTCTTATGTAGATCTAAGCCTCGAAGGGAGCTCAAGATTCCGAAAGGCAGAGGTGAGGATAAGAAGAATTCTTGGCAGAGAGAACAGCCTAGGAAAAGGCCTGTATGCACTCAATGGAATGTCATTTATAGGGAACAGCTAATAAGCAATTTGGGCTAGAACATACAATGTGTGAGGTGGAGTAATGTGAAAACAGCCACAGCCTTGAAAGATAAGCTACAACCAGCTTGTGAATGGGGTTTAAGTGCCGAAGGAGTTTTCATTTTATTTTTGTCGTTGTTGTTCCGTTGTGTCTGACTCTTTGTGACCCCATTTGGGGTTTTCTTGGTGGAGATACTAGAGTGGTTTGTCATTTCCCTCTCCAGTTCATTTTATAGATGAGGAAACTGAGGCAAACAGGGTGGAGTGACTTGCCCATTGTCACACAGTTAGTAAGAATCTGAGGCTGGTTTCAAACTCAGGTCTTTCTGACTTCAGACCCAGCATTCTATCCAAATGGGCCACTAGCTGCCCTTTTATCTTATCGTAGAGGCAATAGGAGCCTCTGAACTTTCCTGAGCATGGGAGTGACATGATCAGACCTATGCTAAGAATATCATTTTCACAGCTTTGTGACAGGTGCATTGGAGTGTAGCAAGATTGGAAACAGAGAAAACAATTAGGCTCTCAATTAGTCTCAGCAAGAACTAAGTGGTGTCCACATGAGTAAATAGAGGACTACAGATTCAAGAGATGTTGTAAAGGTAGAATAAAAAAGATTTGGCCACTGATGACATATGGTGGTGATTATACATGAGGCGTCAAGGATGACTCTGAGCTTGGGAAACTTGATGACAGGAACGGTGGGCATGCCCTCAAGAAAAATAGGGGGTAGCGAGGTGGCTCAGTGGATACAGCACCAGCCCTGGAGTCCGGAGGACCTGAGTTCAAATCTGGCCTCGGACACATGACACTTACTAACTGAGTGTCCCTGGGCAAGTCACTTAACCCCATTGCCTAGCCAAAAAAAAAAAAAAGAAAAAGAAAAAGAAATTATGAAGGAGTATAGGTCAGGGGAAAAGATAATGAGGCCTGGTCTGGACATGCTGAGTGAAGGGATGATGGGACAGCTACATGGAAAAGTCTACTAGGCAGTTGGTGATTCAGGACCAGCGCTCAGAAGAGAGATGAGGGCTGGTTATAGAATTCTGAGTCTTGTGCATATTTGCCAAGAAGAAACCAAAAGATTTAGCTAACCTAAGTCTGAAAGAAAACATCCAAGACAAACCATTCCAGATCTGTAATGACTAAGAAAAGGAAGCATCTACCTCAATAGAGACAAAGAAAAAAAACAGATATGATGCTAAAATGGGGAGAGACATAGGCAACAAACTTTTTCTAGAATGATAACATAGGAAGGGGGCTCAGAGATCATCCAGCTAAGCTTTCCCTTTGTATAGACGAACAAACTGTGGCCCACAGGGGTGAAGGGATTTGTCCAAGATTGTATAAAGTGTCCTCAAAAGTCTTAGTGCCCATTTTAAGTTGTTAAAGTTTAAAATATATTAAAACTCTGCTAAGATTTTCTGGGACATCTTGTACAGATAGTTAGTGGCCAGCTATCCTGGTCCATGAAGGCAGCAACCATGTATCATCTTAA